CACGCTTGAGGTGGAGATGCTGGCTCCGTTTAACGGGTTACGGCTAGACGCTAAGGAGGATCGCTACAGTCATTTACAAGGCAGACGTACAGGTGCTGTGAATAGTGGTTTGGTATTCAGACCACTAATTGACTGTTGGCTGATACTTGAGTGCCCAGCCGGATGCAGCTCCAGCGTTTTCCACTGAAATGCGATGAAGGTAGTGCATGTACTCCGAACAGCAAGTGTTGCAAATGCTGCTCATGTGAGCTCATCGCTGCTGACACATACCGTTTGAGTGTCCTCAAAATGTCCACTCAATATATCCAGTCTTCCACTGTCCACAGAAAGTCCGTGCTATGCTTACGGGAATGCTGGCGGAGGCGCCGAAGCACAGGATAGCAACAAAGAACACTCCTCCCAATCAGTCCCCATTTTGTCATCTTTTTTGACAGCAAAGCATTAAGGGGTGGATTGCACTCAAATCCGTTGAAGTGGTAATCATCAGTGATCCAAAAATCTGTATGCCGCATTTTACGACTGCGGCGTCGTAACAACGAAACGGAAGCCTTTTCACTAAACATTATCTAAGGAATGAGTAAACGGAAATAAGCGGTCAATAGAATGGTACATTGTGGTGGGAGTAACCGGTGCGCTTGTTAGGTGTGACTGCTAGGTGCTCACAACAGTTCACAGCTTGCCGCCTAATCCATCGAAACGTGTGCGGCTAAGCCCTTGGAAGTGGTTCCTATGTCCGCGGGCTGTATCCTATTTACCGTCCCTCGGTGACTGGAACTAATAGTTTGCTACCGGAGTATATTATATCGTCTCTCCTACATGCAAATGAGAAGAGGGAGGATATTGCTACAATCTGGGGCCTGGAAAACGTAATTGACCACTGTGTGGCAATGCCGTCCTAATCTTTTTCTACAGGGCACATAGGCATTTTTGCATGACTGGGCACTAGTCTCTTCTACGTATCCAACGAACCAGCTGAGCGTCCATTGCCAGCCACCACTCAATTGTTTCCACTTGACCTTGCGAATCCATTGTCACGACTGCTTTTGCCGAATCCAAGCAAACTACAACCCACAGGAAAGTCGCGGCTTTCTTAGTATTTCGCGAATGAGAAAACTCAATGTGCGGCGTTGGGTTTGACGAGAATGGCAACGCCATTGTTCTGTGGTTAGGCTTGACGGGGTGGCTTGTGTAAAAACTACATTTTGGCTTTAACCCCCAATGTGTCCAGTATTATGGCCGGCGACCCGTTAGTGTGTACGGGTCTTGGCCTTCTGAGCTTTCTCCCTACATGAGGGTTGCCTCGAAGCAGAGTGCATATACAGACATGCAGGGGCACACTGTCATACATTGCAGTAGATTACTCGCCACAGAAGGTGAGTGCGAAGTCCCTATACGTGCACTGTAGTGTGCATCTCCGAAAGAACTGGCCCCCCGGAAAGAGTGCTTCCTCTTTCCTGCCACCCGTAAGGCAACAGCTGGAAACCGGCAGCACCACACAGACATTGGAAGTTGCAGTGAGTTATGCATTAGCATCTTTGCCGAAGGCACAGGATGTTGAAGTCCCAGCAAAGTTTACATAAATGAGCGTGGGATCTTACGCAGATATTAACCCCCTATCTTGATCCCTCCGGTAAGGCTTGTTGCTCTAAGTGGGACATTGGCGTTCTTTTGTTCAGCAGGCCAGACTGTTGCCGCTGTTCTCAGCCAGTTGCAATCTGCAGAAAGTGCATGACATATCCAACGGCACGTGCTCGGAGCAGCCTCTCTGCTCAGTCCTTGCGCTCTTCAGAAAGAGAACATTAGAACATCTCTGGCTGTTACCACATGCTGGACTGGCTCGCGGTACGTTCTTTGTACAGGAGGTAAGTTTCAAATTCCTTGGGAGGCGCAATGTTCCGCCTGTGTGCGGTGCTGTCGTGTACAGTTAGTGTACAGGTTTGCAGTATCAATGTGCCTCAGCTGATAAGCCTGTCATTATACATGTCACATGCATGCCTATGCAGGGGAAAGATAAAGATGCACATTAATGTGTGTTTTATACCCTTCGTCGGGTCAGGCAGCCATGCCACCTTTCTTTGCTCTTTTAGGGCTTCTGCCGTTCCAGAGAATTTATCGGGAGCACTCTGGTTGTGCACTTGCTCCAAAAATATTGACGTCAAATTTGAGCATGCAGCCTGTCTCTGCCATGCTGCGTGGAAATGCTGCTTGGCTGCCCTTCTCATGAATAGGAAAGCTTCAACAGGGCTTCGCATCAAACCAAGCTGCTGGGCGTGTACAGACCCGGTAGCTAGCAGCTGAATGCTCTCTGTGCAGTTAGGTAGGCTTGTTTTGTTGATGGAACAGTTATTCCGCCGATGTGTTTGTATGTGTCTGCAGGACGATGACGAAGAAACGTCGCAATGATCCTGCCTTTCGTGTAATCTTAAGAGCTCCTCTAATACAGAAATTATTTTTAGTCGATCCCGGATGCAGTGAAATTTGGGGAGGTTGCTTCGGCCACATCCTCAGGGATCATCGAATGTACAGTTAACAAAGGTCACTAAACGGCCCTGCATTCAATGCAGAAAAGGTATTAAGTAGAATTGGGGCACCATCCGCTGATAAGCCTTGCCAGACTACGGCTGAGTCACCGAAAATGCAGAACTGCGAGCAGCTTCTTCATAAGGAGTAGCTCACGTACGCACCGAGTCAAGCACAACTGCTGACGTTGAGTCTAATTCAGCTGCCTCCGTTTCATTCCATTTCTTATGAGTATGTGATTCTTCTTCATAGTTTGGCTAGATGCCGTAAAGCGTGGTATAGGATTCTACGTGCTTGCCAGTAAGCAGCGTTCTTGCCCCCGGCAACAAAGCCCGAGATGGTGTAGCTGTGGAGGTATGATAGGCCTGCCACAGGAGTAACGTTCACCGACTGCCCGCTGACCTGGCAAAGGCGTCAACTACTTGCTACTTGCAAGTGAGGCGTGTCTATGCCACCTCGCCCGCCATTCAAGCAGCAGTAATGGAGTTGTGCCGTTTTTCTCCTACTCCTCCAGTTGTACAGAGAATCAACTTTGCAGTTGATTACTTCCTGGGCATCTATTCGGCCTCTTGCAGTTGGACTTCAGTTTATTTTTTATACCGGGATTTCACTAGTATAGCAGTTCAACTCACGCACTGCGTTGTGCGAATCTTCGGTTTTACCCCCGTCTAAGTACCTTGTTGGGGACCCAACGACGCTTTTGTATGGAAATTGCAATAAAAAGGTTTGCCACACGTATAATGCTCCTCTCCTTCAACACGCTTCAGCCCGAGGTCTTTTGCCCGGTAGATTTGAGTCAGCAGATGGACAGACGCACTTAGCTGCAATTTATCCCTTTGATTTCTTTACTTCCGTGGGTTCTAAAGTTCATATCATGCGATCGTAAACATCCTGACTGTATTTCTGGTAGTTGCAGCAGTGGAACGGAAAGGAGCCCATGCTCACCAACTTCATCATCTTACGTTAAGAAGGAATTTTTCCACACTATAAGACTCCGAGTATCTCATTCGACTCACTGACAAGCTTGCATCACTGCAGAAATAATTAGTAAGCCGTAGAAATCAGAAATATATGCGTTTACACCCGGGGCGTGGATAGGGTCACCCAGTCGCTGCCTCCATAGGAGCCGAGCGGCTTCTGACTTAGCTGCAGCTGGTACTCGTAGTTTCCTACTGGTTCTACTGATACACCTTGGCACCGTGCTTCGGCTCTCCAGTATTTGATGCACCTCTCATTTACTACCAGTTGTTTAAATGGGCCACACAGCATTAGCCAGTTGTTAAGTTATCTGAAAACTGCTTCCACGGCTTCCTTTCGCGTACAGTATACTTACAGGGCCTGCCATATGGCTGTAACGGGGGTCCTGAATCTTATCGGAGGCCTACTGTCAGGTGCACTGGAGTCAAAATATCTAGGATGAGAGTCCCCCTACAGTGGCTGACCGCTTCCCATCCAGGCAGCATGAGCTCAGAGGCTGAAGGACCTGGAAATGCAGGAGAGGAAGTGGATTGCCACGAATTCTAGCGAGCCTTGCTGCAATTCAAGGTACAGGACAGCCCCACAGGCATATACAACGAGACTGATTGGCTGTATGTAGACACCGTAAGCAGACGCTGAGGAATTTGGCATCCGCGTGAATACTGCCTGTCCATTTGGGCCAAGCAAGCGTTCATGCGGCCACTTCAGACCATCGCACGGACTAAGATATACTGGGAAGCGTGTTTCTAAGCAGCCAGTATTACAGAGAGCTGAGAGGGAGCGACTGCCCAAGGACAGCTGCTGTCCCCCGACCAACCCTCTGCATACATTAAATATAACAATTTGCACTGCATGCATATGTGTGTATATATGTTGTATACATGTATGTCCAAGTACCAGCTTAGTAGCACATTCCGGCAGCATGAACACAGTATACAACCACATGCAAGAACAGCTGGCTTCCAATTCCTACGAGCCTATCGCTCTTCAAATATTGAGTGGAGTAAAGAGGAAGACGTCTATCAGTAATTCCTGCTGTCTCCTTTAGGGGTTCATCGGCAGCAGGTCCAAGGCAACGCAGTGTGCAGAGACCGAGCCGCCTGAGCCGGGGCTTTCTGTTGCATTTGCTTATAGAGAAGGTCTACAATATACTATTTTAGTAAAACAGAATTAAGAACTTGCCACTGAATTTCCAGAAGGAATAGGCTCAAGTCCTAGAAACGCCCACAACCCCTGGCGTTCCGGTTGGGTGGTCTTTATGCTGCATTGCTACTCCATGACCTGTCCCAGGGGGCCCCCGCAACTGCCTTCTCTGAGTTCGGGGCCCCCCTGAATGCTAACTTAAGAAATTCTGTTTCATCAAGTAGGTGCAGTTTACCTTGTATCTGGCTAGAGCGACGACACCCAGCTCATCTAGGGGGCAGGGGGGCCCTTGACTCGCTATCATTTCTGGGGGGCCCAGACCCCCCTCGTGGAACGTTTTTCACTGAAAACACCAGAGAATGCTGTTCAGGCGGGGGCCCTCGACTAGGAGGCCCCCGTTCCCAGGTCTTGAAGCCTCTAGGGGTTCCCAAAGCACCAGGGCAGCTGCCGTAAACGGCTTCAATTCGAAACTAAGTTTCCATCATTTCACATACACACTTTTCGTTCCCCTCCACTGTACGTCCACCTCAACTCGCAGCTCCTCAGTGGCTAGGGTGACCCCGCTGCGCATCTCTCCTCTTACCGAGTTCGCAGAGGTTGCCTGGTTGCATTGGTGCAGCCCGAAGGAGAAGGTACAGACGTCGGGGGGCCCCATGGGGGACCACCAGTTTCGTCGCTGCCTTTTGCTCTCCTCAGGAAATCATGAACTGCTTCAGCGGCAGCCACTGCACGGGAGGGCTCCAGAGGGCGCCCCAACGCTGCACGGAAACCGGTGCATGCACAATGCATCCCAGCAGTGCCTGCAGCAGCAAGAGCACCGGCAGCCTGAGCCGAAGCAGCATCAGCCTGAGCAACAGCAGGCGGAAGGGGAAGTGGGAGGTTTTCCCGATATGTGTCCCCCTTCACTTCGTCTAAGCCGAGTCGTGTTGTTAAATAAAGTCACACGCTTCCAGGTATCGCTGGCAGAGAGAATGGCAGCTTGGAAGCGGCAGCACCTCTCCCGCAGCAATAGCGGCGGGGGAAACGGAAGAGGGGTAGCAACTACAGCAGCCGCCGCTGCTGCTGCACCTGGGGAGGAGGCTAGGGGGCAGGCCGATGCCGCGTTGTACACGCCTGGGAGTCGAGAGTACGAAGCAGCAGCAGCAGCAGCGGAAGCAGCAGCAGCAGCAGAACTGGCTCGCGACTTCCCCACAGCCTACCGCACGCACCTGCTGCACCAGAGAGCAGCAGCAGAGCTGTGCAGACAGCTGAGAGAAGAATATGGCCTTCATGTAACTCGCATAGAAGCCAGAACTGTTCAGGGCCTACGCTTAACCCGCACGGGGACAGTTGCCTTACCTCCAGACGCCATCATCTCAGCAGGTGAGGGTTTACGGTTTACGGTTTGGGGCTACGATTTATAGTTGGCGCTAGCGGGGTGCAGTTTGGAATTCAGCGCTTATTGGGGCTTGTGACTGATCGTTTAGGGTTTAGGGTTTAGCGTTGAGGGTTTGGGGTTAATTGCAGGAGGCGACGGGACATATCTGGAGGCTGCTTCAATAATCCCGGGCCACATGCCTGGGGGCCTCGCGGGGCCCTGGTTGTTTGGCTTTAACACGGACCCATTACGCTCTGAAGGCAGGCTTTGCGTCAAGCCTACAAGACAGGTGCAGCAGCAGGAGAAGCAGCACCATGAACTGAAGCAACACGAATTGCAACAGGAACAACAGCAGCCGCAGCAACAACAACAGCACGAGCAGCAGCAGCAACAGCAGCACCCCCAGCAGGGATCACTTGCTGTTGGGGCCCCCCTAGTTTTCCAAACCCCTCGAGCTCCGGGGCCCCCAGCGGTTGCTTCCTCTCAGAGCAGCTTATTAGGAGTACGTGCGGCGGAGGGGGGCCTTGGGGGGCCTCAAGCGGAGGAGGTAGGGGCGCTTGAAGAGGCAGAGGAGGCAGCATATGTACAGGCTTACGTACACCGCACGCTGCAGCATCTCCTGCAGGGGGGGGCTCGTCTGGTGGCTCGACAGAGGATTCGACTGACTTTGTGCTTCTACCAAAGCATGCATCAGCAGGTGATGGAATGTCTCGCTGCTATTACTCCCCATGGGCCTGCAGCCTCAACAGTCAGAAGCAGCAGCAGCGAGGGGCGTTCTAGTGGTAGTCTTCGTGGGAATATCAGTAGGAGGAGCAGCGACGGGGGGACCCCACAGGAGGCAGGGCCCCCCAGGGGTCCGTTGGCTGCAGGTTCGCAGCACACAGACTCTGAGAGGGACGAGTATTCTGTGATAAAGGCCCCCCAAACAGGACACGTTGAAGGCCGCCCTTTAAAACAGGAAGGGGGATCTTCCGTCTGGGCAGAGGGCAATAGGGTTCCCCCCTCTTCAGCAGGAGGAAGGGGGGTCGCTCAGGTGTGTGGCCCTTGCTTTGAGGGCCTCACGTTTGATGCAGCAGCAGCGCGGCAGCGAGAAGAAGGGGAGGCTGCCCAGAGAGAGGAAATAGTTGAGTTGTGTCTACCATTTTTGTCAGTTAACGATGTCTTTGTCTCTGAAGCAAATGTGGCTAAAACCCTCTATGCTGATGTTTGGGTAGACGGCACAACGAGAAGACACAAGAGTTCCGGCGTGCTCGTATCCACAGGCAAGCAAGGGCCCCCAGACAGCAGCAGCAACAACAACAGCAACAACAGCAGTAGGCAGTTGGTTATACAGGAAGGAGAAGGAGGTTGCTGCTGGTGCTCAAGCCAAGGGTTGAGAGTTGTCTAATAAAGCGGTGTATATAGGAATAATGCTGAGGTGTATGTTAATGATGAGGATTGGACTAATTTTGCGATTCACAGAGTAATGTTAACGTGTATAAACAGAAACCTCCAGCATGGGGTGTATGTACACTTCGATGTTTAGGTGTACGTACAGGAACGGGATCGAGTGCATGGAATTACAACATGGGCTCCATTGGCAAAGAGCAGGCGAAGGCTGTTGCAGAACAGCTGATGAAGCTGAGACCCCAACTTGAAGGTAAGCGTAGCAGTGATTAAGCATACCAGTATGCCTGAATATATATATTGTATATGCAGCAGATGTTTCCCTGAAGTTTTTTACTTATGCATCAACTCAATCTTCCCTTGGGTGTGTTTGTTAGACTGTGAATGTGTTGGAGCGCTGGAAATGCATGCATGCTTTCGCTGGAGCTTCTGTAGAGAGGCACTGCAGAGGCAAAAAGGGTAAGGCTATATGCGGTGTGCGTACAGCGAGCTGGGGGCCCCTCACGGAAGAAGAGCTGCAGCAGATTGTCTTGGGAGCGAATCACCATCTCCTCTTAGACCCTGGTGCCTTGCTGTTGCGTTTTCTTGTGCGAGAACCGATTCACAACAGGTAGGCAGCACATGGTTTTTTTTCAGCTGTATATACGCTTCAACAAGAAACAGCAGCTGCACGTACACGAGACGCGCCACACATACAAAATGCTATTTACATACAGAATAGCCAAGAAGTTTGGTGTTTTTAAACCACGATTCTTCACAAACACAGTGTGTTCTATGTATGCTTGTATGTTATTGCCTTTGTTTGGAGTCGGCTGACATTTTTCTGCATGTTTGTGAGGTGTATGCACAGCTGCTGCGTTGTATTGGGTGATTGTTTATGTGTTGAAGGGTTTTCTCTAGGGAGGGGAGTATGGGGATGGGCCGGGAGGTGCGTGTAAAGCCGTTAGCAGGAGAAATTGTTGTGGCATTGGACGGTCTTGTGCAGCTGCAGCTGCCTCCTCTGGTGGAGATTCGGCTGTCTGTACACCCTAGCGACGCCCTCTGGACGGTCCAATAGCTTGCATTATATGCATACATAAAAAGGTTGTTTATATATTTGTTCGTATTGTATGTTGAAGGACTACAGTAGAATATAGTGAACGAGTAAGCAAGACAGCTCAAGCGAGCCTCTTTTAGAGGGCCCCTCGATCTGCCTCTATGTACATGTGGTGCATATGTGTATAGGCGTATATACAAAATATGTACAGTTATAAACATATGTGTACACTAATGTATATGCGTATGTATGTGGTAAGAGCTAGAAGGCTCAACTCATTTTTTTAGAGGTGCATCTATGCCCACGTTTTGACCTACGTCAACAGCCGCATCGCCAGGTGTATCTACACCTGAATTTAGAAACGCTGCAAACCCGAAGCGCATTCTTTGCCAGTCCCTGGTGTTTACAGAGCTAGGGTTTAGGGTTTGTGGCAAACTGGATCTTTTTGTTTTTACATTATTGATAGGTTTTGGGGGTTTAGAGTATTCTTGCGGGCCGGCATAGTAGCACTGATCTGTACACCTTGTTTCAACAGGTCTCCTTAACTACTTAACTTGTTAAGCCCTGACCTCCGCCTACACAGGGGCTGAGGGTTTTGGGGTACTTGGGCGTACTTCGTGCAGCAGCACTGGGATTGCGTTAGTTACAAAGGCTTCGCTCACACATTACAATGCCCTGCGTTGTGCGTACACTGTAGCAGGAATGGAATGCCGCAATTCTGTGTGCATGCACCATGGCGGTGTGGGGCATTTGGTTAGCGTGTAGGCTTAATGAAGGGGGGGAGAGGATGCTGCTGTTCTTCTCTTCATAGCTGTACATGCCTAGCTGAGGAGCTTCTCTCCATGCGTAAGGCTAAACGTTAAATCCGTAGACTGTATGCTCTCACGAGACAGAGGGCGTGTTTGCAGTGGCAGCAGCAAGCCGCTGAGCCTGCGGTGTACCACCTACAGCAGCTGCAGGGGTGTAGACACTAAAGGGAAGACCCTTCTGCCATTAAAAATATGCATATTCGTGTGTATTTTATTGCCTTACCTATGAGGCGGGGGAAAATGAGCCTTAGACAGTCGCCTCTAACACGAAGGAGCGCGGTGAGCAGTAGCGCCGGCGCTCTCTGGCCTTTAGATGTTGTTGTTCTCCTAATCCTGCATATAAAAGAAGTATTTAAAATAATAAAAAAGGAAATCAATGAAAGTAGAAGAAAAATTACTGCTATTTTGTAGGGGACTCACTGACGCCACCGCTCAGCAGCAGAAGGACGGGCTGTTCTGTTGTGTCGCTTGGTTGTCTGTGGGTAGTTAGCGGCTTGCTGGGTGACTTTTCGGGAGAAGGTAGGTATTAAAGGCACTTTAAAGGCAACAAATTTTAAATATTTTAAAGGAATAAATTAAATTATAGAAGGAATGGAAAAAAGAAGACAAAGTGTAGCGTTTGTTGCAGCTGACTGTGTCCTCGAGCCGCCGCCGACCACGGGTGGCGGTCCGTGCTGAGCGGTGTGCAAAGACGCTTAAATTGAGTGTTGTTTCTAAATGTATTTATTATAAAAGATAAAAGTGATGAATATTATATAAAATATTGTTAAAATTAACAAATTATCCCCCCAGACAGCCTACAACGACTACAAGCAAGGCGGTGCGGTACGCACAGCAGCAGAGGCAGCCGCTGACGACTCAGACCGCTGTCTGTTCCCCTCTCTTTCTGTAGCTGGCGAATGAGAAGGGGGGGGGGAGGTAGGTGTTTCTGTTGTTTTAATCTTTGTTTACAATCAATACACTGACGGAATTGGTTTGCTGTAGCAGACCTTTCTTCTTTACTTGCGCTCTCCTTCCCTCCTCCCCTAACAGACCCTAAGCGGCGCGCAGCGGCGGCAGCTGTCCGGTGTCCATACACCGCAACAACAGCCTTCGGCTCGCCCCCGCGTACATACACCTCAGTACACCTCAACAACCCGCATTTGGCTTTGTTGACAGATAGATAACCCTTCCCTTCCGTTCTTGTCCTTTTCTATAAGATGGGAGGCGACTCGCAACACAGGGCGCAGCAGCTCTGCGTCATAGGCCAAGAAGTAGCAGCGGCAGGCCCTGCCACGGCTAGCTGCAACAGCAGCAGCAGCGGAAAACGATCTACTACCAACAACTGCTGCAGCACCAGCGTCAGCAGTGACCGCAGCAGCAGTCATGAAAAGCTCTTCGGCAGCACCACCGGGTGCGCCCGCGGCAACAGCAGCAGCGGCACAACAACCCCTCAACTGACGGTTGCTGCTCCTCAAAACAGCACCCTCAGCAGCACTATCTGCAGCAGCGGCACAAACAGCAGCGTCCCTTTCTGCCTGGGTGTATCTACAGTAACAGCAGCAGCAGACACCTGCTACTGCAAACTCTTAGTATCGAATCATCTTGCAGGCATCATCATTGGCCAAGCAGGCAGCGAAATTCGAACACTTAAAAGTCTTACAGGAGCCAAAATTGTGAGTCTAGCTACCCCTCCCAACCCCCAGAAACAACAGCAGCAGAAGCAGCAGGAACGGCATCAGATGCAGCATTGGGAGGAGCTGTGTTAATGTATTTGTTTTGTGTCTGTTGCTGTGGCTATGCAGGTCCTGTCCCCTCATGGGATGTATTTCCCTGGTACAACAGAAAGAGTTGCTGCATTAGAAGGCCCCGAGAGCTCTGTATTGCATGTGTTAGATTGGATATTAGACAAGTTGGCAGCAGCAGCAGGCGACAGCAAAGAGCTTGCAGCAGCAGCAGCAGCAGTACAACAGCATCAAGACGGGCTAAATACCTTACCTCTCCAGCAGCAGCTGCAGCAGCAGCTGCTTCTGCATGCAGGATCAGCACCTATTTCCTTGCGTCTATGCGTACCAAGAGCTGTTGTGGGGTCTTTAATAGGACGTAGTGGAGGATATATTCAATCTCTACGTGTTGCCTCTGGTGCATCTATAAATATTTCTCCTCTTTTTGTTAGTGCAGAGGAGGCATGCGCGGAAAGAATTATTTCTATTGAATCAAGAAAGACACAAAGTCTTCGTGTTGCTGCATTTACTCTTTTGAAGAAGATTAATGCTCATCCTGATAAAGCCTCTTGTAGACATGTTTGTTACTACCGCAAACATAACTTCGACTCCCCTCTAGCTACAGCTACACAAGAGGCAGCAGCAGCAGCAGCAACAGCAGCAACAACATCGTCATCAACAACAGCAGCGGCTGCAGCAGCAGCGGCGGCGGCTGCAGCAGCAGCGGCTGCAGCGTCGCCTACGCCTGTAGAACTCCGCATGAGGCAACACATGCAAAAGCAGCAGCAGCAACAACAGCAGCAACAACATCAGCAACAACAACAAAGGGAAAGAGAACTCTTGAGGAGAAGGGCACTCTCTCTTGTCATGGGGGCACATTCAAACCCTGCTGCTCTTCTTGAAGCGGGCAGCAGCAACAGTAGCACCAGCAGCAGTAGCAGCAGCAGCAGCAGCACTGCCAGCCTCCCTACTGCTGAAGACACCTTTGCTGCTGCATTCAAACGCTTCTGTGAGGCCCGCGCACAAGCGAAGGCAGCAACGAAAAACAATGATGCGGCAGCAGCAGCACCAAGACCCATAAAGACTGTCCCCAGCCTTACGCGCAACATGAGAGAGGTTATTGAACAATCTCGCAGCAGCTGCAAGGGAGCAACAGCAGCAGCAACAGTTTCTGGTGCTGAAGTAGCAGCAGCAGGAGCAGGAGCAGCTGCAGCAACTGCAGCAGCAGCAACAGAGAAGGGCCCAGCAGACGCACCATGGGATCTCTCCTCTTGTAGCACTGCAGCAGGAAGCACTGACAAGCTCCCAACAGTCTCAGAAGACAGCAGCAGCAACAACTTGGGAGATGTAGACGGAGCAGCGAGGAGCGATTTGCAGCAGCAGCAGCAGCAGCGGCAGCAACAACCGAGCCTCGCTTTATTGGTTCTTGTCGCAGTTTTCCTGGCCGCCCTCCTACATATCGTCTCACGCAACTGACTACACATCATCCCTGCCCAAGGAGCAGCAGCAGCAGCAGCAATACCATCTGCAGCAGCAGCAGCAGCTGCTACAGCAGCAGTAGCAGCAGAACTGGTGCTCGGCCTTGTGATTTTACAGCAAACTCCTTCACTCCCTCTACGCATATCGACAATGTTCCCTCTAGAAGGTAATTATGTCTTTTTCTCTGCCCGAGATGACTGCAGCAGCAGCAACAGCAGCAGCAGCAGCAGCAGTGGGCGCGGAATCGTTTTTGGCGTTTGGGTGTTTTTGCGGTTTTGCAAATCGCATGGAGGCACAGCAGCGGATTTATTTATCGGCAGTTTCTTATCGCTCTTATCTGCATGTATATAATATAAAGTATATAATATATTATATAAAATGTATAAATATGTTTATTATATATATAAATTATAATATGTAATATATAATATATATAGTGTATAGACCCCACAAAAATGTATTTTATAATACATATTATTATGCATGTGTTTGCTAATAAATAGCTGCAGTAAGAAAGAGCTTCTTTCCCCCTCTTATTAATTATAAGAATATTTAACAATGCATTTAATATCATGTGGACACTGCAACATCGTCATTTCTGCTGCTAGCGGCAGCAGCGGCAGCAGCGGCTGTGTAGCTGTAGCTGCAACAGCAGCAGCGGCAGCAGCGGCAGCAGCGGCAACAGCGGCAGCAGCAGGGAAGCGGTGTGCGGTGGAGGGTTAATACAAAAACCGTTTTGTGTTTCCTTATTAAGCTTGGGTAACACTAAAATAACAATACTATTAGTAAAATATATATTATATAATAGTGCATATATATGTATGCTTATTAATAAATATGCTTATTATTAATATGATTATTATTATTAGTAGACTGTGCTCAAGACATTATCATTTGCATGCATTGTTATATTTGAAGAAGAGGGGACTAGACAAATATCTATTGCTGCTGTTGCTGCTGCAGCAGCAGCAGCAACAGCAGCGAATATTTATAATGTGCACATGGAGGTAGCACAAGTGTTTTTTTTCTTTAAATGCTTTTGTTTCCTCGAAGAGGAAACTAAGCAGAAATTTTTGCGGTGTATACAGCAGAGAAGCTCTTCTTTTGCAGTGTATTCGCAGGTGGTGGTGTATCACCACCACCATATATTTAAATATTAATATATTTATATATTTATATATATAAATATATTTATATATTTATATATTGTAGATTTTATTCCCAATAGGAACCAATTTATATATTCTGTTTATTTTTATTTTTGTCATAAGAAACAATTCATTACTCTTTTCTATCTAATGCAGATTACTAGCGCAACGGCGTCGCAGCTGTCTGTACACCGAGCACACACAAACAGCCATAAAGCCACTTTATATATCTACACAAGAAGAATACATCATAAAATAAGTAGCACACAAATGCTGCTTTTGCATTCAATATTTAGCCATAGGAAAGAATTTTTTATTTGTAGTGTGCGTGCAGCAGCACACAAAAAGCTGCAAAATAGCAGCATATTAACATAAATAGAGGAATATACATACAAATATGTTTGGATAGCCAGCAATATACATAAAATATATAGCAGCAGTATATACATATATTTTATAAAATATATAATGTATAATGCATATTAGGTATACGAAGGCAATGTAGCATCTATGCCGGTTAGTACTTTTAATGCGGAGGGGGAAATGTTTTCTCCTTGTATTTCTTCCTCTTACCTCCTGTAAATGCTCTTGTTTGTGTCTATATATTAGACTTGCTTTTCCTTTTTGCCTTTTTACCTCCCTTTCTCTTCCGCATACACCAGGACAGGGAGACATCTTTTTTGTGTGCACACACTACATATATAAAATTTTCATTTCTACAGCTAAAGTTGCACGAATATATTCGGGCAAAAGAACTGCTGCTGCTGCCATTGCTGCTTTCGGCTGCAGGAAGCAGCAGCAACAGCAGCACTGCCGATAAAAGCTGTTCGTAGTTTGCATTAACTCCCTATGGGGGTTAAATAGCAACAGCAGCAAACTATGTAACAAATGTAGCGAATGTACACCGCAAACAACCACAGTATCGGCTGGAGTGTACCTACACCCCCGTAAGGAAAAGAAAACCATTAAAACGGATAGAAAGAGGGTTTAGCGTTTTCTTCTGCCCCCTCAGCAGCTAAGTGGCATCTGCGCCATCATTAAAACAATAATTTGTGTTTTAAAAGCAGCTAAAGGCGGTCCCTCTCTGTCTGCTCGGCTAACAGGGGCCCCCATAAGGGTTTGCAGGCGATTGAAGTGCCCTCCCTAACGAGCTGCGGCGGCGTGGGGCCATATGGAAATGTGTAGACGGGGGCCCTCACCCCCTCCCCTTGACTTGTTTCTAAGGGGCAGAGGAGTACGCCCCTCCTCTAGCTGTGATATGGCGAATCTCTGGGGACTCCTGCGGTGCATGGGCCTCTCCTCGCTAAAAGGGCCCCTACGGGGGACCCTCCTCTGGGGCCTCTTGAGGGGGGCCCGCCTTCTCTGCAACGGGAGAGTTGTGACTGGGACTTTCCGTGTCTGATGGAGGGGCGTCGTCCTCGAAACTGTCAAACAAATCACTGGGCCTTCTAAGGGTTTCAATGGCCTCAGACAAATGAGGATCAACACCTACTGCTGCTGTTGCTGCAGTTGCTGCTGCGGCTTCTCCTGCTGCTGGTGCTTCTGGCGGTGCTGCTGATGCTGCAGCGCCGCTTGCAGCGTCTGCGCGGGGCCTCGGGGGGGCCCCCTTTACCTTAAAGTAGGCAGCGAGGGCACTCTTTAAGAGACACAAACCCTCGCCAGGCAGGAAGGAGGCCTCCTGGTCCCCCAACCGAACGCAGTCCTCAGCAAAGGGTACAGAGGGGCCCTCTACTGCAGGCAGTTCGAAGACCCACCGCGCCTTCAGGGGCCCCCCTGGTGCGGCCCCCACGGGCGCCAGGGGTCCCCCACCCCCTCCCTCCTTCGCTGCAACGTTGGGAGTTGTTATTAAATCAAACTGGACATTGTGACCTTCTCCTGTGCAACAAACAGCGCATACAAAGAAGCAACAGATACAGCCAAAGGGATCCTTCCCTTCTAATACAGGGGTCCCCCTAAGATCAAAGAGGTGTGTCAACAGGAACCCCCGCAACGAAAACACGGTAGGGGGCCCTCCTAGAAGTGCGAATGCGGGCCCCAGTGACTCACCATATCGCCTGTCTAAGACCTGCTGGATGAGGCGTCGGACTTCCCCAATATCCGCGTCCCAAGAAACCACCGCCTGCACACAAACCGTAAACCGCAAACCCGTAAACCCTAAACCATCCCACTGGGGCCCCTAGACAGCTGTAAGCTTCCTTCTCTTCTCTGTAAGCCTCTCCGCTTGGAGGCCCCCCTCCTGCTACTCTCCCTGCATGCACTGACCTCTGCTGCAACTTCTAATTCAAACTCAGGCAATCCTGTATGGGGCCTCAAGGGACTCTTGACACCCGCCCAACTCTGCAACCGCAAAGGCGGGCCCTCTAGGGCCCCCCGACCCTGCTGCGACTGCGAAGGGCCCCTGAAGACAAACCCCAAATATTAAACCCGTCGAAAGCCATAAGAAACCCTAAGCCGTAAACATCAGAAGGCGCCCCCCCTCCACCCCCCTCTCACTCTAACCTAAACCCTGGCCGTCAACGGCCTCACGACACTCTACGCTTTAGGCACTGTCTCTAAACCCTATACCCTAGACGCACTTGAATGCCTCCTGACTTGCGGAGAGCAGCAGCTGGCCTGCAGCAGCTTGCGAAGGTCTCAAAGGAGAAAAATGTGGCTGAGACCCCAAACGCGACAAAGTCTTAGAAGGAGATGAGCTAAGGCTCCGACCAAGCAGCGATAGCGGGCTGCGTGGGCCCTCTGCAGCAAGACCGCAGCAGCAACAGCAGCAACACATTACCGAAACCTTCAAGCTGCTAAGAGGGATAACTGCTGCTAAAGAGGCGGGGGCTGTATCAACGGCCTTGAGGGTTTCGGGTTTTAGGGTTTAGGGGTTTGGCGGGGATGGCCGCACCTCCAATCCGCAGGTCGACGACAGGCCTAAGCAAGGGGCTGCCAGGGCTCTGCGCAGCAGCACCAGCACACAAATCCAGATGATTGCAGCAGCAGGAGCAAGGCATTCTAGGCATCAGCAGCAACAGAGGCACATTCAGCCAGCAGCAGCACGAGCAAGAGCCATGGGCAGAAACAATTGCAGCAACAGCAGCAGCGCGTACTGTCACTTCTTGCGTTTTTTGTGGCTTTTGGCTCTCCCGGACTTCAACCAGCTGTAGCAAGACAAGCTTCCCTTCAGCTGCGGGAGACCCTGCATCTGCTTCCATGCTGCTGCTGCTGCTGCGGTTGCTGCTGCCGTTGTTGTCGTTATTAGTGGGCTGGGGCTGCCGCAGGTCCGTAGAAGAAGCACAAGGACTGGGGCGCTGCGACGTCTCTGCGTCAAACCATACGTCGTTGTCGGGTTCTTCTACCGGCTGCTGCTGCTGGTGCTGCTGCTGTTCTTCTTGCTGCTTGTGCTGCTGCTGTCCCTCCTGCTGCTTCTGCTGCTGCTGCTGCTTTTCTTCCTGGGGCTGTTTCTGCTCGTCTTCCTGCTGCTTCTGCTGCTGGCGAGGGCTACGAGCAGCTCTAACAAAAGGCTTCATAAAAGAACGCAACAACGAAACCACAGCTCCCCCGCTGTGCGTTTCCTCCTCCTCCGGCTTCTGCTGCTCCTTTTGCTGCTCCTGTTGTTGCTGCTGCTCCTGCTCTGCTTGATTTTGCTGTTGCACTTCTTTAGTCTCCCGCTTCACTTCTTGCTGCTGCCCTTGTTGCTGAAGCTCCTCCTGCTTCGCCATGAACACGATCTGCAACTTAAGGCCACAATCGTGTGTGTGGGCCACCGGCGACTCTGCAGATACGCAACAAGAAACCCTAAACCCTAAACCCGAATCCCCGCCCCTGATTATATTCAACTTCCCTGGTAGTCAGTGAGCCTGACAGCAAGCTACTCCCGTGCTAGCGCTGCTGGTGCTGCGAAGGATTTGCTACGCACTGGAGAGGTTAATGAATTCTCCATCTGCAAGAAGGCGGTTGGTGCTGTCGCTGCAGCAAAAAGAAGCAGAAAGTAGCAGGGACACAGCAGCAACACAATAAATACAAATGTAAAGCAACAGAAGTTTAGTTGTACTTCGTCAGCTCTAAACACAGCAGCAACAGTAGCAACTTTAGGGCCGCTTGTGTGCTGCTGCTTACCCTGCAAACATTAGCAGCAATCGAGGGGGGGGCCCGGGGGCCCCAACCCCCTCCTCTGCCGTTAACGACGCCTCACGGGGGGTTCCACATTGCCTGCAGACACAAACACAAAGCAGCAGGAGCAGCAACATGCATTACCTCAGCAGAAACAGCAACCCCTATTAACTCCAACTTCAGCAGCAACAACAGCAGCAACTCACGAGCAATGAAGGGGGAAGGGGCCCTTCCAGTTTTCGCCCCCCAAACGGATTGTCTCTCCGTTTCTGATCGAAAGGCAACAATCTGCTGCTGCTGCAGCTGCAGGCCGCAGCTGCGCGATGACAGCATTTGAGCTCTCCGTCCCTTCCTTTCTTGTTTCATCTTCCTCTAGCATCATATGTGCTGCGGAGCCGCTGTAGTCTACTGCCAACGACTCAGCAGCAGCAGCAGAACCATCGTGCTCTTGCTCTTCAGACCCATGCTGCTGCTGCTGTTGCTGCTGGTGTTTGCCTATTGGCGAAGCCTCTGCTAGCTGCAGCAGCGAAGGTGTTCGCCGCAGCAGACCAATAGTATCCCTACTGGGGGCAGAGGATAAGCCTAAACCAGAAATGAGGCCCCCACTGACAAGTGCTGCTGCTGCACCGCTGCTACTGCTACTACTACTACTGCTGCTGCTGCTGCTGTTGCTTGCTGCTGATGGAAGAGACAACAGCTGCTGGTGCAGCAAAGAAACCCTATCAGAAAATGACCGCTGCAGAAGCGGGCTTAAGACTTTCTTGCGGGGGGGGCCCTTGCGGCTTGAGGCCTTCTTAGACTCCTCATCATACTCAGAGTCGCTGCTGCTGCTGCTGCTGCTGCTGCTGCTGGGCTCGTTGCTGCTACTGCTGTTGTTTGGCTTGTTGCTGCCGACTCGTAAGGAGCACTGCCGCAATGCAGTACATGTACGACTTTTGCTGCTGCTGTTCTGCTGCTGTTGTTGCTGCTGCTCCGTCGATGCAGCTGCTGCTGCGCTAGGCCCCTTGCTACTACTACTACTAGTACTACTACTACTAGTACTACTACTACTAGTACTACTACTACTAGTACTACTACTAGTACTACTAGTACTAATACTAGTACTACTACTACTACTACTACTACTGTGAGGAGGTTTCCTGCGGCGGGTGCCTGCGCTCCGATTTGCTGCTGCGGGGGCCCCAGGAGATGGTACGGCGGCCCCACTCGAGACCTTTTGCTGCTTTACCTTTCTTGCTGTTAAAACGGGGGAATCTGCAGCAGCAGAATCCTGGGCAGCAGCTGCAGTTGTAGCAGCAGCAGGGCCCCCAGAAAGTGGGGCCCCACGGTCTACCTCCATGTCTGCTATGCTGCTGCTGCTGCTGTTGTTGCTGCTGCAATGGGCGGAGACACCGCTACGAGTTTCTTTGCCTTTAGCTGGGCCTCTGTTTGTACCAGCAGCAGCAGACTGAGTAGCCGCCGCGCGAGACTTCCGCTGATGCGGCTGCTGCTGCTCAAGCACCCCAGAAGCAGCATCAACTGCAGCGGCTGAGGCTGCAGCGCCCTTGAGACCGTTGCTGTTGTCATTGCTGTTGCTGCTGCTGCAGGACTGTCCTGCATCAAGCGCCCTCGTGTGGGCCCCCCCAGATCGGCAGCCCCTCGACAGAGTCCTGCGGAGGCCTCTCCCTACCTGCTTAGCCCCCTCTGGGGGAGCCCCCGTGGAAGTTGCTGAACCCTTGCCGCTGCTGCTGCTGCTCATGCTGCTGCTGCTGGTGCTGACCATGCTGGTGCTGCGGAGGAGCCCCCTACGGCCGCTCGGAGGCGTGGGGGAAGGCCCCGGAGGAAGGGAAGACACACTGGAGCCCCGTCCCGCCATGGTCTATTGTTGCTGCTGCAGCAGCAGCTGCTGCAGCAGCTGCTGCAGCCGCTGCTGCAGCAGCTGCTGCAGCCGCTGCTGCAGCCGCTGCTGCAGCTACTGTTGCCAGGCGGTGGTGTCTTGCCGCGTGGATGCGGCTTGACGCGGTTTAAATATTTGAGTATAGAAAAAAGACGTAAATAATTGTTAAGATTTAGGTTTTAGGGTTTTCAACCCCGATCTTTAAGGCCTAGGGCTTAGGGTTTAGGATTTATAGTTTAAGGTGTCTGGGCGTGATGGGGTCACGCCTCCACTGGGGCAGCTGGGCAGCGCAACCCCAAGATTAGGGTTTATGGTTTGGGGTTTAGCATTTGGGCTTGTAATTGGCATTTATGATATACAAAATAAACCTCCAAAGAGCCCATAAACCTGTGTGCGGCAACGGCCGCAGCAGCAGCCGCAGCAGCCGCAGCAGCCGCAGCAGCAGCAGCAGCAGCAGCTGCAATGGCAGCAGCTGCAGCAGCAGCAGCCGAAGTCCCCGGGCGCTCGCCGTGGCTGCGCATGCAAGGAGAATGGAGGGGTTGACATAGAAAATCAAAAAAGATTTTTTAGTTATGCCTTAGGGCCTAAGGTTTAGGGTTCAGGGTTTAGGGTTTATATTGTGGGGACATATATCTCTGTTTCATTTCTTAAACCCGTCAGACACCCTCCTTGGCAGCATCTGTAGAACACTTGCAAGAATAAGCAGCAGCGGGAGAAACAGCAGCAGTAGCAACCCCAACCGCGGCAGCAACAGCAGCAGCAGGCGCAAGACCTCCAATTACGGCCGCTGGAAGAGGAGCGCAAGCAACAGCAACAAACAACAGCTGCTGCAACATCGCCAAATTCCCTCCCAATAGCAACTGTAATAAACGCTGCGGGAGTCGCAGTAGCAGCAACATCATCATCGTCAGCAACAGACATATCAGCAGCAGGAGCAGCAGTGTGGTTCCCTGTGGAGATTTTGGAGCCTGACTTTTTGGGAGCAGCAGCAACAGCGTATGCAGCAGTAGATGTAGTAGCCGATGAAGCAGCAGATGCAGCAGCAGATGCAGCAGGTGCTGCATAACGAGCGGCCGCAGCAGCGACCTTTTGGGCACAGTTGCTAGCAGCAGCATAAGGAACAGCATAAGTAGCATCATCAGCAGCAGCATAAGCAACGTAACAAGCAGCAGCACAAGCAGGAGGCGGCTCCGGCGCAGCAGCATTGGTCGTATTTGAGTTAGGAGAGGGAGGTAAAACTTGTATTGAATTAAACAGAAGCAGCAGCTGCAACAGCAGCAACAACAGTGGCGGCAGCAGCAGCAGAAATATCTCCCGACAATGTCGGAGGTGTACGTTCACGAGCCGCAGCCAACGGCTCGTGTTGTGATTTCTACAACGATGGGGCCCCTAGATGTTGACTTATGGGCAAGGGAGGCCCCTATGACAGTAAGGAGTTTCTTACAGTTATCTCTAGAGGGGTATTATAATAATACTATCTTTCATAGACTTATACCAGGGTTTATTATACAAGGAGGTGACCCCACAGGCACAGGGAGGGGTGGCAGCAGCATATATGACCGCTCAGCAGAAGAAACAGTTACTGGAGAAAACGAGGGGGAGGCAGAAGCATCTCACTCGGAGGAGGGGGGCTCCCCATGTTCCCATCTTCATCCTCCACAGCCCCTCGGGGGGCCCCCTAAAAAGGGTAGTAGTCCGTGGCAGAAGGCTGGTGGGGCCCCTGCTGCTGGTACGGGTGTGGGGGCCCCCAAAGTTGGGGCTCCCCCTTTAGGTTTAGAGTTGAATTCGCGGCTTAAGTTTCGTTATAGAGGATTAATGGGTGCAGCAACATTAGAAGAAGAAGGAGGGGGACCCCCTCGTGTAGGTAGTCAGTTTTTCTTTACATTAGGCAGGGCAGATAGTCTTAATGGCAGATATACTGTTATGGGGAGGGTGGGGGGCCCCTCTTTATTTAATTTATTACGTATGGGGGAATTACCGGTGGATAAACATGATAGACCAGTGGACCCCCCTAAGATTCTTAGTATTCAAGTCCTGAGAACTTTCTTTGACGATATTCGGGTTAAGGAAGTGATTTCATGGGAGGAGGAAGAAGAAGATGAAGAAGAAGAAAAAGAAGCGGAAGAAGAAGAGGAAAAACGACCACAACTTGCTGCTGCTAATACAGCGCTGCTGTCATTCGCAGAAGATGATGATGATTTACAATTGACGTCGCAGCAGCAACAGCAGCAGCAGCAGAAGCGCAAGGGGCCCCTCAGTGCACACGATCTGCTGGAGGACCCAAAACTCTCCAAGGAGGCCCCAATAAATGCGCAGAAGCAAACCTATGATCAGCATATGGAAGCAGCAGCACAACGCCTCATGGAACGAGTTGCTGCTATTGCTGCAGCAGGAAAAGGAACCCCATCTCCTCCCCTTCCAGAGGTCGACGATAGCAGCAGCAGCAACAACAGCAGGAACACCAGCAGGAGTAGCAGCAGGAGCAGCAGCAGAAGCAGGAGAAGTAGGAGCAGGAGCCGCAGCCGCAGCAAGCTCAACAGCAGGGGCAGCGACATGAGGGAGAGCAGCAGCAGGGAGACGCGTATGCGAGTCCCTCTGCCCCCTTCACGGAAGGACATTGCAACTGCTGCTGCTGCACTTCCCGATGCAGATCTGCTATCTGCTGCACAGCACCGGCGGCGGCTGATGCTGCTGCAGCGGCAGTCAAAGAGCTCACAGCAGCGACAGGCAGAAACTCTCGAGAAGCTCAAGGCATTCAGGCAAAAGGTACACCCTAAAGCCTAATACATGGGAGTAAAACAGCTACAGTCTAAACTCTAATATAGTGGAACACACCCTTAGAAATTTGTCCCTCTTGCTTTGTTGCTGTTTTGTGTGCAGCTTCAAACGTTACAGAAACCCTCGGGGAAGAACAAACTCAAATCCAGCAGCAGTAGCAGCAGCAGCAGTAGCAGGAGCAGTAGCAGCAGCAAGGGTAAGTCCCGAGACAAGGCGCTGGAAGCAGCAAAGGCAGCAGCAGAGCGGGCTATGGAGCCGGTGCGTGCGAGAGAGGCAGCAATGGCCGAAGAAGCAGCAGCAGCAGAAGAAGAAGACGACACAGCAGATTGGCTGCAAACCGGGGGTCTTTCTTTCCCTATTGACAGTAACACAGCTTATCAATTTGATGCAGCAAAAGATAATTTAGTTGTAAGTGACCCCTTGCGCGGCGGCAACAGTAGCAGGCTGCTGCAGGACCCGAAGCAAAAGCTACGTGACAAAGCAATACCGTACGATGCTCAAGGACCTCGAGATCTCAAACCCTGGTGGTAGTACTAGTTGCTGCTGCTAGTGCTGCTGGTGCAGCAGCCGCTGCTCCTATTTTTTATAGTAGATAACGCCGTGTCGATGCCTGCCGTTTCCGTGCAGCAAGTGCTGCTGTTGCTGTTGCAGCAAGAGCTGCTCCTTCTGCGACAGCACATATTTGCCTGAGGCGCAGATGGCACTCTTGCCACGACGCGGCTGCTGCTGCAGCAAGCGGCGAGCAGGACAATCTGCAGCACAGAATGTGTAGCACCCTACACTGAACGGGGGCCTGCAAAGGGCTCCTCGCTGCTGCAGCAGATGCTCGAGCGACAACAGCAAATGCTGTAGAAGCAGCAGATGCTGTAGCAGCAGCAGGAGCAGATGCTCCATTTGGTTTGGTTCTCTTCTTTCGGTTCGTTGAAAGACTCAAACGAAGTTTAAGTTGTAAAATGCACACCGGCAGCGAACGCTGAAGTAGCAGCAGGCAGGAGCAGCAACTGCTGCTGGTGCTGCTGCTGCAACGTAAGGGCAGACGTTTGCCGCCGGCTCAAACGAGACTAGGGCCTTCTGTTTCTGCTTCTGCAGCAGAACCAGCAGCAGCAGCAGGTGCTGAAGCTGGGGCCACAGCAGCAAGCGAATCGGATGTTCCCACCCCACCGCTCGGCTGCGGCTCCTCCTGCTGCTGCGGCTGCTGTTGGGGCTGCTCCTGCTGCTCATGATGAAGCGGCTGCTGCAACTCCTGCGGCAACGCTCCTGGCTGCTGTTGTTGCTGCTGCTGTGCTGATTCGTCTTCGGGTCTGAGGACCTGCTGACAGTCGGCGTGTTGCAACAGCAGCAGTTGCTGCTGCAACAACTGTTGCTGCAGCAGCTGTTGCTGCAATAGCTGCTGCTGCAACTGTTCTGTGAGCTGCTGCTGTTGCTGTTGCGGGCCCTCTTTAATTGGCAACAGCGGTAGCCCTCGGCCGCCCGCTGCCTGCTGCTGCAGGAGCAAACCTGACTCATGCAGCGGCAAAGGGAAACATTGCAGCTGCTCTTGCTGCGCAGCAGCGGCAGCAGCTGCTGCTGCTGCCGCTGCTGTATCCCTCACACCAGCTTCGGTCTGGGGTGGCTGCTGCTGCCTCGCACAAGAAGCCAGGAGCAGCTCATGCTGCAACAACAGCCTTTGCTGCTGCCGCAGCAACGCCTCGCTGTTGCTGGGGTCTTCTGTTGCGTCCCCGCTGCTGCTGCTGCTGCTGTTGGTTTCCACCAGCTGCTGTGCCCCCAGCAGCAACGGCTGGCTAGGCAGCACGGGGGCAGCAGCAGCAGATCCTGGTACTCCTGCTACTGCTGCTGGGTCGAGGAGCTGCTGCTGTTGTTGCTGCTGCTGCTGCATCTCCGCCTCTCGCTTCAGCTGGAGCAGCATCTGCTGCTGCACGCCAACATCCGGCAGCAGCAGCAGCTTCGGGTCAACATAATCTGGAAATGCAGCAGTTGTATTTGCTGCGGCGGCAGCAGCAGCGGCTGCTGCAGCTGCCTCCGAATGGGCAGCCAGCTGCAGCATTTGCTGCTGCTGCTGTTGCTGTTGTTGTTGCAGACAGAACTCTTCTGCTCTTCTTTGGGCGTCTTCATGGCCGTACTTCCTAACACTAAATCTCCTAACGACCTGCAGCAGCCAAACCCACAAAACGCACGGCTGCCGTTGCTTCTGCTACCACTGCTAATTCTGCTGCTGCTGCTTATTCGCTGCAATGGTTCTTGCTCCTGCTGCTGCACCTGTTTGCCTGTGGCTTTGTCCGTAACGACGCCCCGCCAGCAGCCACGTGTTGACTCAAAGACAACTCCCTTCACTCCGCTGTGCAGCCGCTGCGGCTGCTGCTGCCTACAAGTTGCACCAGCAGCAGCAGCGGCTGATGCTGCAAGGTCAGAATCCGCACGCAGAAGGGCCCCACACTGCTGCTGCTGGGCCGCCAGCTCGGATTCTGAACCGGTTGCAGCTGCTGCAACACAGTCGAGCAGCAGCAAATGCAGCAAATGCAGCAGAAAAGCGTCATGCAAACCACTGCAAGAGCGATAGCGACAATTGCAGCCCAAACCCTAAACAGTTTTATATAAAAAATACATGAATATAAATACACTAATGTGAATATAAATATAACTAATGTATGCTGTTTAAATTAATATAGAGGGGTGGAGGGTTTAAAAGTATTTATTAGGGTTTAAAAGGGTATAGTGTTTAGCTCACTACTAAGGATTTGCTTGCCAAGGGTTTCTGCCAAAGCCTTCGCCAGCAGATAGCCAAATTCCTCCACACTAAACCCTCGACAGAATTCGCGGCCTGCAGGCAAGCCCTACACCCTCCTAAACCCTAAACCCTCGTAAACCCTAAACCCTTATGTATACATCCGCCTAAATTCCCCTGCAACCCTGAAAACCCCAAACCTCAACTCCCCCAAAACGTTAATGCTCTTGAAAAAAACAACCCTAAACCCTAGCATCAAAACTCGCCAGCCCTAAACCCTCATAAGTACTTGCAAACCCTCCTATACCCTAATTACCCATAATCAGCAGGGAAAGAGAATAATACAACTGCTAGCAAGACAACCAACACACAAGGACCCTGATTGACCGCACCAAATCCTCAGAAACCCTCGCTAACAACAATCGCATGCCCTCACATACACTAAACCCTCAGCCCTAAGCACTAACCTGTCTCCGAATCTTTCCAGCGGACAGTCCACTCGGAAGAGCTGCCCGCCTCTCGAAAAGAGACTCCATGAATGCTGCTAACATGTTTAAGGGGATCAGCGTCAGCAGCAGCTGCTGCTGCAGTTGCTGCTGCTGCTGCTTCTGTTGCGGCTTCAATGGCCCACTGCGGAATGCTATTGCTACTGCTACTGCTACTGCTGCTGCTGCTGCTGCCTTGCTGCTCCTGCTGCACTGCAGCAGCAGCCGCTGCCAATGCTGCTGCTCGCTGTTCCAGCCACAGCGCTGCTGCTGAAGAACAACAAATGGGAGGTATCTCTCCTGTCTCGTTGCTGCCGACGTCATGCTGTTTCTGCTGCTGCTGATCTGCTGCAGCAAATGCTGCTGTATGCCCTGTGCTGCCGCTGGTGCTGGGCTGCTGCCGCCGCATGCGTTTTGCTCCGCGCCCCCTTTGGCTTCTACCGGCGTTGCCGCGCTTCGCTGCTGGTCCTGCTGTTGCAGCTACAGCAAATCCATTACTGCTGCTGCTGCTACTGCAGGGGCGTCTGCAGCGGCGCACAGCAGCAGCGAGCTCCCCAACGGCATTTGCTGCTGCTTCCGCGTGTCTTGCTGCAACATTTGCAGATGCTGCTGCTTCTCTGGCCGATGCTGCTGCTGCTTGAGTTTGCTGCAGCAGATTCAAAGACTCCTGCTGCAGCAGCAGCCGCACGTCTGTCCCCAACAAGTGGGGTCCCAGCGGCCCCATAGCAGCAGCTGCAGCAGCAGCTGCTGCTGCTGCTGTGTCAACGCCAGGCTGTCCTACAGCGCCTCCTGCTGCTGCACCAAAAACAGAAGGGTCAATCCCTGCTGCTGCAGCGACAGGATCTGCTGCTGCTGCTGCAGCTGCTGCGGCAAATGCCGCATCTGCCGTGGTTGCTGGTGCTGCGAGGTCCCCGTCTCCTACTGGAAAATCGACACGATGCATTGCTGCTGCTGTTGCTGGGGCTTCAGTCGCTGCTCCTCCTGCTGTTTCTGCATCTGCTGCATTTGCTGCAGCTGTAGCGCTGCTGCTCTCTGCTGCTGCTGTTGTCAGCGTCTCAGCAGCAGCAACGGTTGACGCTGCTGCATCCGTATCCCCCTGGACGCTGCTGCTGCTAGTGCTGCTAGTGCTACTTGCGCTACTCGGGCTACTGTTGCTGCCGCTGCTGCTGGTGTTGCTGCTACTGCTGCTGCTGCTGTCGGCAGCAGCGGGGGCAGGAGCAGGAGCTGCAGTAGCAGCGCCTGCTTCTGTTGCAGGCGGAGACGTAAGATGGTCTTCAGCAGCAAGAGCATCAACACAGGCTGCGGCTGCTGCACCAGGTGTGCTAGGGGGCCCCGCCCCAGCAGCAGCCTCAACGGTTATGGTCCTCGTGCCGCTGCTACTACTGCTGCTATCCGCTGCAGCACATGAGCAGCACGAAGTCGGCGTGCAGCTCGCAGTTGTGGTTTGGTCTCCATCTGGTGGTGCTGCTGCTGCTGCTGAACGGGGAAGCCAAGGAGGCGAAACCGCAGCAGCAAGTGCAGCAGCAGGTTCTGCTGATGTTGCTGCTTCTTCTTCCGCCGTGTCCTTTCCTACAGAAACCAAGTGCTGCGGCTGCTGCAGCAAGAGCTGCTGCTGCAGCAGCGTGTCCACTTGGGACATCTCTTCAACTCTGCTGCTCTTACCACTACTGCCTCTGCCACGGGTTGCGCTGTTGCTGCAGAGGCCGCAGCCGTGCCGTTGCCGTTGCTGTTGCTGTTGTTTCTAATGGTGCTGCTGCACCTGTCTCAGCAAAAGGAAACGTTGTAGCGGCTCAGATTATGCGCCTGTTGCTGCTGGTGGCTGCAACAAGGGCACCTTCACGGCGCATCATCTCTATGCAGCAGCTGCTGCTGCCGTGCTGCTCCTCCTCCTCCTGCTCACGTGCTGCTGCGGAGGCGGCGGCCCCTGCTAATGCTGCGGCGGCCCAAAAAACCCGTCTCCTCAAGCAATTTAAGACCAACCGCCAGTGGGTACTTAGATTCAAAGGCTGCCAAAGAAGCAGAAAAGTTTGCTGCAGCTGAAACCCGAGGCACGGTGCCTCAGGTCTGCTACTACAGCAGCTGCTGCTGCCGCTGCTGCTGCAGTTTTCGAATCGGCCTGCTCCTGTTGATGCTGCAGCGAAGGGCAGGTGCAGAAGTAATCAAGCAGAACGCCTGGGAAGCAACAAGAGGTAGATTTCCTGCTGCTGTTGCTGCAGCTGCTGCTGAAGGCCGTTTCGGGCTGGCGTTGCTGCTGCGCTGCAGCAGCTCCTTCGGGCCTCTTCTGTGTGCTACAGAGTCCAAAATAAATTCGTGCAGCGAATTATTGCGAGCAAAAACAACAAAAAGAAGGAAAAAGAAGAAATGGCAGCAGCAGCGTCTGGTGTTTGGCTGCTGCTGCCAAGCAAGCGAGGAGTCTGGGGCCCCCACGGATTGTATTACAACGGAGGATGGCGCAGGGCAACCCTTTGCTCTTAAAAGGCTTTTTTTTTATGTTTTCTGTAATTCAAACAATCATTTAATCAATTTATTAAAAAACTAAGCGCCATTCCCTTGCTACTTCCTACGCTGCTCCCACGGACGAGCTGCGTGGGGCCACCCGACGCAGAGGTGAGAGAGGCTTGCTACGGTACACGATACACCGCAATTTGCAGCAAGTTCAACATTGTGTGCATAGATTAATTAGTTTCATTAGTATATATCCTTCTTTGTATAGATAAATCCTAACTTCCTGGCCCCTCAACGATACCTCTGTACAAGCATTGCGGGTTTTGTTATGTCGTATGAATTAGTATTCCTTTACACCCAATTGCGTGTGTAGCGCTCAGTAGCTGTACTGTGCTCTTCGGTAATAAAAGTTAATCATTAAACATGAGTAAATATTAGGATATAGTTTACTTCATACTGCTTTGTTTACCTTCTTCACCTCCTCTCGGTGGGGGCAAGGGCAGAGCAGCGCTGTGCCTTTGTGTGGAGAAGCAGCAACAGCAAACACAAGAGACAGATCGTGTCTGCTGCGCTGCGGCACAACCCTTTTGCTGCAGCCTCAGCTGCTTTGAGGCAGCATAGAGGGCCCCGCATGCCTGCAGCAGACAGACGAGGGGCCCCTAGTCGTTTGCTGCAATGTGCGTGCTGCAGCACCGCATCAACAGAGAGTCTAAACAGCAACAGCTTAAACCCTAAACCCTACCAGCAGCAGCAACAACCTAAACGCAGGCAGATAGAGCTTCGTCAATGCTGCAAGGGATGCATGCATAGATCTTCTATAGTGAGGCATCGATTTTCTGCTCTAGCTGGGCAAACAAGAACTTCCGCCCCAGGCAGGCAAGCCGCGAGGGTCTAGGGTTTAGGCTTTACTGGTTATCCAAGGTGAAAAGCCTTATGAAAACATATCCAAAAGCCTCTGCGTGCACGCATGCATGCAACTAGGACTGAGAATATTGAATACTAAATAAACAATAAAAGCAAAAATCATAATAATGGTTACTTCTGCTTAGAAGAGTTTTACACTTAGCACCTTTAGAATATTAGATGTACAAATCAAGCAAAACTTTTGCTGCCTATTTGTTCTTTTTTGTTGTGTTGTATTTGTTTGTTTGTCTCTACAACTGGCGTTTTATGATAAATAAAACAATTCCTTCTACTAAGAATCAATTTAAATAAAACAATTTCTTCTAATAATAAAACAGTTGCTTTAAATAATGACAATTATAAAGAGCAACTCTGTTTAGTTCTTCAATTAAAAGGCTTTTAAAACTCGTCAACTTAAAACAAGAGAAAGGCAGCGGCTCTCCTTTTCCCACCCCTCCCTTTGCTGCCCGCCGTGATTAATAATATTAGTAGTAATCATATCATTATTATTAATATTAATAAAATTATTGTTGTTATTGTGCTGCAATTGTAATAATATAGTGCAGGTCATCGCCTACGGGCCAGCTGCTGTTGCTGCTGCTGCTGCTAGACGTCCTCGAGGAAAGACTGCAGGGCGTCTGCTTTGTCGCTTGCTGCTGCTGCTGCTGCCTCACTCCATCGTGCTTCCTGATCTACTTCCTGCGTACCCGAAACACCCTGTAGCAGCCGCAGCGCGGAGCTTCCTGCTGCTGTGGATGGGATTGCATCCGTAGTAGTTTCTGCTCCTGTTCCTGTTGTTTCTGCGGCTGTGTAATCACCTGCTTGTGGGTCTGCTGCTAAACACTCTAGCGAACGCTCGCCACAAAAGGCCTCTGCTGCTGCTGCTGCTCCTGCCGCTGTGGAGGCAGCGGGAGCCTCGGCCCGAGCAGCAGCAGCAGCAGCAGCAGCAGGTGAAGCCGCTGCTGCAGGATTTGCTGCTGCTTCTTTCCTTCCAATCTGCAACAATTCGTGGAGATCTTCCAAAGACAGCCGCTGCAGAAGCAGAACGCACACCACCGCAGCAACCTTGCAGGAGGAGGTGGTGGTGCTGCTGCAGCTGCCGGTGCTGCTGCAGCTGCCGGTGCTGCTGCAGCTGCCGGTGCTGCTGCAGCTGCCGGTGCTGCTGCAGCATCAGCTACAGCAGCTGCAGTGGAAGCGCTGCAGCAGAAGGGTCTAATATTTGTATGGAGCGCTTTGGATTCATAAGAAAGACAATATGGCTCAAAGCGAGTTGCGTAGGGGTGAGGGTTTATGCTTGAATCTTAAGTGATATGCTGAGGGCTAAATTTAGGGTTTAGGGTTTACAAGAAATGCAAAAACACTTTACGGGAGATTACGCAATGGGTTAGGATTGTTTTTGGATCAGAAGGCTTCGGATGTATGGAGAAAGAATACTGCTAGTCAATTATTCTCTAGGGTTTAGGGTTTGGGGTTTGGAATACCTCGCAAAGAAGGGCTTCGCTGGGGGTTTTCGAGGCGATGCGTGTTTTGTGCAGCTGAGCGATTCGTTGTTCAACACTATCCTTGACAATGAACCTGTAACTCGCAAACCCCAAACCAAACCCTAAATCCTAAACCCTAATTTCACACTGCAGGCTGCTGGTACGAGGAAGTCAGCAGCAGTGGTGCTAGACTTGTATTGGTTTGGGCGGAGGTTTAAGGGTTTAGAGGATTTAGGGTTTAGAGGCACAATAACAGATTTTAAAGGGGGATGATTTACTGCATGACACGATCCTGCTCGGTTTGGCTGTTAGAGACAACGGGTTATGCGTAAATCCTAAATTGGGGTTTACAGTTTAGGATCTAGGGTCTTGTTACCTCCATACGTGGGTTTGTTTGGTTTGGGAAAACCTATAAACCCTTCCAATTGCCTGTTTTTCTTCTGCTGTGTTCAGCGGGTATTCAACAAATACAACGTGATTTGCTGCCGTAAGATTAAGGCCTCTTCCTCCCTTGCGAAGGCAACACAGCAGCACCTGCGGACTGCCGCTGCTGCTGCTGCAGAATGCCTTAATTGCTGCAGCTTCTTGTTGAGACCCATAGTAACACAAACTATTTATCCTCAGGGCTAGTAGGGAGCTGCGCAGCAGCAGCAGCACCTCCCGCCACTCGGAGTACACCAGAACCTTCTCCCCCGTCCCCTGCTGCTGGTGCTGCTGTAGCTGGTGCTGTTGTTGCCGTTCGTTCGGTGGGGCTTCCTCCTTCTGGTATTTTTCCTCTGGTTTTTCCGGTCCCTGTTGCTTCTGCTGTTGTTGTTGTTGCTCCTGCTGCGCTTCGGGAATATGCCTTCTTTTGGCCGCAATTCCTGCAGCTTCCTCGTCTGCTGCTGCTGCTGGTCGTTTGTTTCCTGATGTATAGGCAGTTGGCGAATTGGGTGACCCTCTGACAATCTCCACTATCTTATTCAAAACTGCAGCAAACTTAGCAGAATGTAGATCGAAGGGCGTCGACGTCTTTGCCTGCTGCACACAGTAGAGACGTATATATATATATATA